GGTCAGCTGTCCTGGCTCTGCCCCCTCCCAGCTTCTTGTGCACCTCCTCGCTGGCAGAGCACGGGAAGCTGAAAAGTCCTTGACTTAGTATAAACACTGCTTAGCAACAACTAAAACATCGGCGTGTTATCACATTATTCTCATGCTAAATCCAAAACCCAGCACTACGCCAGCTACTGGGAAGAAAATTAACTCTATCCCGGCCGAAACCAAGACACTCGTGCACGGCCCCGGTGGCACAGGGGCACCAGCGGGCCCCCGCGAGACGGCACCGGGCTGGGAGGGCTGCACTGTGCCCAGGGACAACGCTCGGTGGGCTCCGCTTTTGCCATGTCCCTGCCGTGTGTCCCCCGCCCTGTCCCTGCTCGCTGATCCACCAGCCCCACGCAGGCACCAGCTCCCTAGCATGGGCTCGCTGGGGTGCTGAAACCCCAGCCTGGCCAGCGGGTCCAAGGGTGACCGAATCACTCATAAAATTGCCCGTTCCCCAGGCGCTGCAGGAATAGCAGCGGGCCCTGGTGCCTTGGCAGGGCTCTGCCGGGCTATTTTCAGCCCGCAGGGACAGTTCCCTTGTAAGCGATAGATCAAGGAAGCCAGCGAGCTCGTGTGCCGGTGGGGGCTGGTGGAGGGGCTGGGGAGTCTCTGGCCGGCCACCCCGAGCCAGGCTGGGGTGTTGGCAGTGGCAGCACGGCCCCAGTGCCAGCCGGGCGCGTGGCTCCACCCTGCCCGCCTCCCCGCTCGTGGGGGCACACCGTGGAAAAGGGCCCATCCCTGTGAGACGGCTGAGCTGGGATCCCCCGTCCTGCTGCTGGGGGTACGGGTGAGACCCCCGGGGCTGGGTACCGCTGCTTGGCACAGCCAGGCAGCGTCTCTGCCTGGACATTCCCAAGGATTTGAGGATCTTGTGAAATAACGGATCATCAGGCATTAAAATCCAGGTTGACAAGTCCAAGGGCTCTCCCTGTCCTGCCCAGGTGACCAGGAATCCTTGGGATGACCAAAGAGGAGGGATGGGGAGTCTTCACCCAGGAAAACTCACATTGAGTGCATGGAGGACGTCCCTTGGGGCCACCGGGAAAGCCCTGGGGTGGGTTGGTGAA